TCATGTAGCACCTGTTATCTTAATGGGTCGTGTCATGTCACACCCGTTATCTTAACGGGTCACTTTACCCAACGGGTAAAGTGACCCGACCCGTTAAAAAAATATTTTTTTTTCTTAAATTTTCACATACCACACACACATTGCCACATAAATATTACTACAAAACATTAAAACACATTTGTTATTTAAGTACTACATCTATACTCGAAAATAAGAGCCTAATAAACAAACATTCATACACTACTAGTCTATTACAAAATATTAAATGTGCAAGGATATGCCAAATGAAAGAGTTTTTGTTTTCAAGGTTGTGAAGCCTTTCTCAAAAGTTTAAACCTTACCAATGGAACTCAAATCTTGCATGTTATTCCTTTTACAAAATCCTCAATTTTCATCGATCATCATGACATAAGATTTTGTGGTATCTATTTGTGTAAATATTTTAAATTGACGATCAAATTAGTTCATTGTATTCATATAGGATCAAGGAATGTAGCTGTAAAAAATCATCAAAATCGGAGTTAAAATAACCGTTAAATAATGATTTTTCGTTTATAACCGTCGAAAAGTTTTGTCCCGTTATTTGATCTCTAAATGTTTTTTTTTTTTGCAATTTTTTATGTATGCGATCTTGAAGTATATACAAACATGTTTGATGGTTGCATCGTTGAAACTAGTTTCGTAGAATGCGTATCCCATCAAAACAATAGATTCACTAACACTTAAGAGTTTATTCATACTTTCATCAAGTATAACATAAGATTTTGTGGTATCTACTAGTGTAAATATTTTAAATTGAAGATCGAGTTCATTCATTGTATTCATATAGGGTCAAGGAGTGTAGCTGTAAAAAATCATCAAAATCGGATTTAAAATAACCGTTAAATCGTGATTTTTCGTTGATAACCGTTGAAAAGTTTTGTGCCATTACTTGATCTCTGAATGTTTTTTTTTGCGAATTTTGACGTATGCAATCTCGAAGCATATACAAACAAGTTTGACGGTTGGATCGTAGAATGTGTATCTCATCAAAACAATAGATTCACTAACACTTAAGAGTTTATTCATACTTTCATTAACTATGACATAAGATTTTGTGGTATCCACTGGTGTAAATATTTTAAATTGACAATCAAATTAGTTCATTGTATTCATATATGATCAAGGAGTGTAGCTGTAAAAAATCATCAAAATTGGAGTTAAAATAACCGTTAAATCATGATTTTTAGTTTATAACCGTCGAAAAGTTTTGTGCTGTTACTTGATCTCTGAATGTTTGTTTTTTTCAATTTTTGGCGTATACGACCTCGAAGTATATACAAACATGTTTGACGGTTGGATCGTTAAAACTAGTTTCGTAGAATGCGTATCCCATTAAAACAATAGATTCACTAACACTTAAGAGTTCATTCATACTTTCATTAACTATGACATAAGATTTTGTGGTATCCACTTGTGTAAATATTTTAAATTGACGATCAAATTAGTTCAGTATATTCATATAGGATCATGGAGTGTAGTTGTAAACAATCATCAAAATCGGAGTTAAAATAACTGTTTGATCGTGATTTTTCGTTTATAACCGTAAAAAAGTTTTGTCTTGTTACTTGATCTCTGAATGTTTGTTTTTTTGCGATTTTGGGCGTATGCGATCTCGAAGCATATACAAAAAAGTTTGACAGTTGGAACGTTGAAATTGGTTTCGTATGATGCGTATCCTATCAAAATGATAGATTCACCAACACTTAGAGTTTATTTATACTTTCATTAAGTATAACATAAGATTTTGTGGCATCCACTAGTGTAAATATTTTAAATTGACGGTCGGATTATTTGAAATACTTAGCCGAGAATTTTCCCGCTTGTATCTCTTAATTCGACGTCATGTGAATAGTGTCAGTTGAAAGCGACGTAAAGTGACTTAGGAAGAGAAATTCAATCAGTCATTTGGGAAGGGGACCGTCAATCCGCAGTCAGAGTGTCAGATGTGTTGTTGTTTTTAATCGATGTTGAATCCATTTAAACCGACGCTGCGTTGTATTTCAATAAAATGTGTCAGAATCTAGTGTCGGTTATAACCAACACTAATTTTCATTAAACCGACGCCGCTTGTACTTCAATAAAGTTTGTCAGGCTTCATTTAATTCGACGTGGTTTGTTGGAAGTTGGTGTCGCTTTTAATCGACACTAAGTTTTATTTATTTCGATGCTAGTGACTTTTATTTCGACGTCATGCAGTCAATGTCGGTTTTAACCGACGCCAACTCAGTATCCATATTTAAACCCCTTCTTCCCCATTTCATCTGTGCCTTCATTTATGTCTTGCTCCTTCTCCATCCCCAACCCCTTCTTCCCCATTTTATCTGTGCCTTCATTTATGTCTTTCTCCTTCTCCATCCCCATTTCATCCGTGCTCCATCTTCCCCGTGTGTCTCTTTCTTCCCCTGTTTCAGTTTGTCTCCTTCTCCTTCTAGAAACTTGTGCTATGGATCAACATTTTGAAGATCAACATTCTAAGGAACTCCAATTTGTTGATTTTTAAATTATTATGATTATTAATTTCTGTTTCTGCTTTGTAGTCTAACTAGAATTATACTTAAATTGAAAATTTATTTTTTGTTTCTTGGGTTTTAACTGTTTTTTTCTGTATTTGTAAGGATCAACTCAATGGAGACGCAGACCCTCAATTCCCAGTTGGAAAGAACAACCTTGTTCATTTGATTCATCTGGAGAATGCATTAGTGATAATTCTAGTGCTTTTTGTAGACATGTAGCGGCAGAGGTTAGAGATTACAGAAATATTCCAATGGTGAGAGGTTGACGTTTGATCAAGGAAGAAGACAAGGAAGTGTTTTGGAATATAATAAAGGTATAAATATTTTCTTTTACTTGAAGATTGTAGAATAAGTCAATGATTATAATAATAATTAATTAGCTTAGATTTTTTTGATGAATTTAGGACAATGTTAGTTTTCAAGAAGAAGATATAGTAAAAATGCCGATGATCTGCCATATGACGCTTAAGATTGCAGAGCATGCACATAAAGAGTATAGAAATAAATTATACTGATAAACCAGTCGAGTTTGTTATGGCGGATGAGTTTTTGTATGTTATGTGTGATATAAAATGTTTGTTAGGGTAGATAATTGTTATTAATTTTTATTAATGTTTGCTTTGACCTAAAATATGTTGGGAATTATTTTTTATATGAATTATTATTATTATTATTATTTGGTGTCGCTTATGGACGACAACACAAGAAATATTTTATGTATCGAGATGTTAGGTAATGTCGGTTCGAACCGATAGTAGGTTTGATTAATTTATTATTTTAACTGTTGATGTCGGTTAGGATCGACAATAGGTTTGATATTTTAATTCTTTAATTGTTGCTTGATGTCGCTTAGAACAACCATCATGTCAAAACTTAACGTTGCTTCAAACCGACGTAATGTTGGATGTCGCTTTTAAGCGCCGTTGTTGTTCTTTTTTATTTTATATTACTTTGCTTCTTGGTGGCGGATTAAAGGACTAACCGACGTCAATACCCTTTTGGTGACGGTAGTAATGGTGTCGTTTCATCTATCCGACATTGAACGACTTTATGTCGGATTTTTACCAAAAATCCGACTGTAATTGGGTTTTATTGTTGGTTTTTACACCACTAGTGATAGCGTAAAAATCCGACAGTAATTGGGTTTTATTGTCGGTTTTTACACAGCCAGTGATAGCCTCTTTTGTAGTAGTGTTTTGGCAGTGTTGATTCACCAATATGTCCATCTAAAATAAGAAAATCATTACAATTAATAATTATTAAAGAAATTTGAGTCATAAGAACTATCTTTTATGAACTAAAGTATAGAGAAAGTATAGAGATGACAACTTGAGCAACATACATAGATTTTGTAACAGTCACATTATTATCAACACTAAAAATCAAGGACAAAATTGGAGATTGTGTAAGTGCTAATTGAGCAAGATTCACCATGACTACCCTAATCCTCAAGAATCAACAACCAACACTAAATTCAACAATCAACTACTAATTTCAGCAATCAATCACCGGATTCAACTGTTAATCAACAGTTAATCAAGAAACCCCCAAATTCTAGGGTTTGCTGTTAACATGAGCACGATATCACAGATCTACTAAAAAGCTGAGCACCGAATCAAATATAAGGAAGAGTAACCTTATAGACTTGATCGGAGAAAGAACATCAATAACAACAACCAGAATCAACTAGGAAATATGTCACTAAGATCAGCAATCAAGATTCAGACTGGCTCACAATTCGAAGATCCATCAGCAATGATCAACGAGCAACAAGCAACACAACAATGAAAAAAAGCAAGCAAAAGTAGAAGGATCGTCAACCACAGGCATCGGCCATGCTCGGTGAAGATACCTTGATAACTCTGTAAATGTTCTATCAATAGGGTCGGTTATGAGATTTTAAAGATCATGTGCGAAACTTTAATGGAGACCCTTAAATTGTATAGAATTTTCATTGCTATGTTTTCTTTTACATTTTAATTTTTATGATTATGTATGAATTGAGATTAAAAGAAAAATTTAGGAGTGGTGTACCGGTGGTTAGGTATTTATTTGCATCCTATGTTTTTGAGTTTGAAACTCCTCATTTATAAATACAAAAAAAAAAAAGAAATGAATAAAAAATCTTACAAGGTCCAACATTATAGTTGCTACTAGCAAGAGTGCCCGCGCGGTGTTGCGGGTTTTCAAACTGTACAAAACATGTAGAAAGTTTTAAATGAATATATGATATGCCATACTATTTACATACATGTGGAAAATGTACTTACAACACTATCTACAATAAGGAACAATGAGTAGGATTGGACTTCGTTAATCTGATGGGCTTGTTTTCATTTTGTTTAGCATAGTTGACTGAAATTAGGAGAGAAATAGAAAAAGAATTTCATATATTGTTTATGAAGGAAAGAAATTCAGTTCATATTATATATAATAGATGATCCATTACCTATAAGGAAGAAGATTCATTACTAAAAAGACCCTTAAACTTCCAACATGGTGAAAAATATAAACATTGCGAAATTGGAATAGAAATCAATTCTGAAAAGAAACTGAGAAGAGGGATTACATTGAATGGAAACCGTAAACACAAACTGAAACAATTCTTATAGAATGAGTCAGTCGAATTTACAACGTAGTGAGGAGTGTAATCTCGCTGCCAATTGCTAAACCAAGACTACCTACACCAAATCAGAACATTTTAATCCTTCAATCAGTTATATTGGATGATGCTAAGCATGCATGGTTAAATTAGACGATGACTTGGAACATCTGCTTAAAGCTTAAAAGTACATCACTTCAATTAAGCATATGTCGAGACTATCTCTAATCTTTGGTTAAACCATGACTTGGAACATGTCCTTAAAGTCCCAAATTTTAATTGGTAAAACAGCACAAAGAACTTATAGCTCCAACCAGTAATCAAACTCTACTGAAATCAGCTAGGATAATAACTGAAATGAAAAAGAAACAAAAATATAGGAATATTAATTTTCAAATCTTACCACCAGTTTGCAGGGTGTAACGAAAGCTTGTGTCTCACCATGGCTCAGTCTTTGCTTTATTAGTAACTTAGCCGTCAATTCTTTCAACTGCAATGATCAATTGAACATGATCGGAGAAAAACCACATATGGAAAAGCACACAACTTTCAAAATGCTAATGGAATCCACAATCAAAAGTTTTCACTTTGCTTCTATCTGCAAGATACCAAACGATATTAACAATGAAGGGATGATAACAAATCTCATTAAAGAACACACTGCATTTATTACCAAAGTGTTAACCAGGTGAAAGTATAAAATATTACGGATTTACACAGTCAAATTCTACATTTGTTGATTATAATTAGTGAAATAAATATAAAAATAGTTATTCAAGTTGATTTTGCAATTCTAAAGGTTTAAAGACTGGAGCATCAGATATTTGTTGAATTTAAAACTTTATGTGATCTTAATCCAAACATAGAATGGGTATGGGAATCAGGGAGAGAATATAGAATGGGTATGGGGTAATAACTCTGTATCGATGCGAAGCAATCCATATGTTTTCAAACTGAAACATGAAAAAAATAAAAATAGAAGTGCCTTCTAAAGTTTTTATTTTTGCTATCATATAACATTGATAGCACATGGTATGTTTGTGTTCTTCCCTCATATAGGATGTACTCTTATACACTAAGACAAACTGTAAACCTTGACAACCATTAAATGACTCTGCTAGACCATCTATCTTAAACATTGCATTCATATTTTTGCTTGACCACAATTTTAACATGCGTTAATCTGTAATGCGATTTGTTATCTTTTTAATGGATATCTGATTAGAGTTATACAGTTTTTCCTTCTTTTTTCATTTCACATTAGAATATAAACATTCATCCATCATAACCACACCAAAAGTGAGCAATTCATTGTAAAAATACAAAACCATTAAGGTGATAAATCTAAAAAGCAAAGTAACCATAATAATCTACTTCTTTGCACACACATCAGCCAATCCACAAAAAAACTAATCATAAGCTGATAAACACATTCAATTATGAAAAAAATTAATTCTTTACACATTCTAAATATGTTTACTGAGCCCAGTTACAACTAAGAACACTGATGAAGCATCCTCGTCAACAAATCAAGCAGATCAAGGCGAACTGCTTAAACAATTATCTACAAAAGTAGATAAAATGGTCAAACTCATTGACTCATAGTAATATGGATCACGGAGTCTAGGATTGTTTTTATTTGATCCTAAAGGGTCTCTAGTTTCTTATTGATTTGGGCATTTGGGTTAGACTCATCAAGTCTTTCAATGATCCTATAAAGTTCTTATCTTATGTCTCCTAATTCTGAAGCATAATGGTTTCTTATAGCTAGGATCCATCTTTTAATGCTCATCCTATCCTGTTCTAAGATTCTTTTAATCTCACTGATCTATTTCTTGAACTCCGAGGCTAATTCTATCTTAGAAATGTTTTCTTCTGGTACAATATTACTACTCCCCCTTTTTCTTTTTGGCGGAATTGATTGAAATCAATTGGATCAACAGAATAGCCAGTTCATTACAATCTACAGAAATTAAAAATAAAAACTAATATAAAGCTCAGCCAAAACATACCCAAACTGAATACGATTTGTCTGACGATCACTTGAATACAAAGATCACCCAAAATTGAGCGAAAATCTGGGAACAAAATCAATCCAATTGTAATAATTAACAGTTAGACAACCAAAAAACAAATCTATGGGCAAGACAACCAAAAATGAAATCAAACTGCAAAACAAAACTAAAAAATTTAGAAATCAGTCACCTTAATACGTACCAGTTAACAAAACGGCGAAAAAGACGAAATCGATACGGTTCGCACCCAAAAACAGAGAAGAACAGCCAACAACTATTCCAAAAATCAAAGAACGTGTCCGCCCGGAGGTAATTTTGTGAAACCAAAAAAAAGAAATTGATAGAAAACAGGGCGCACAACGATGAAGGCGGAGGAAAACCCAGATGAGGAAACCAGAAAATGGAGAGCCAAAAGGTAAAGTGAAACAGATGAATCAAAGGAGAGAAAGAAAGGCTGCAGGACGCGTGGGCTGGATGGGTAGAATCGGAAATTCACTGCACACATATGAGGAAGCACGACAAAAGCCAAGAAAAGCGGAGGGCATAACTGTCCTTTCACTGTTCACGAACAGTGAAAAACAATGCACCCGAGTTTGGGTTTTAGTATATGTATAATGTCTTCTTATACATTTTTAATCATAAAAAATGATAATGTTGTGAACACGGAAAATTCCTGAAACGAAAGAGACAAGAACAACGTGCACAAACAAATATTTCTATTTTGATGATTTTGGGTTACAATCTCTCTCTATTTTGATCCTCTGATTCGATCTCCATAAGGTGTGTATTTGTGGATGTGTGATTGATCCAAGGGCCGTCGAGGCTTGATCTTGGATGAACGTTCTTTAAGGGCTGTGGGCTTGATCTTTGAAAGTGGATTTGAGCGGATCTTCAAGGAGCCGTTGGGGCTTGATCTTGAGGATGAATGTTTCTTCAAGGGCCGTTTGAGGCTTGATCTTGAATAATGGTGATGAGTGGATCTTCAAGGGCTTTTGGGCTTGATCTTGAAGAACAGTGATGAACGGATCTTCAAGGGCTTTTGGGCTTGATCTTGAAGAACGGTGGCTTGTTGATCCAAGGGTCGTCGAGGCTTGATCTTGAATTGGTGGATGATTGTTGATCCAAAGGGCCGTTGGGGCTTGATCTTGGAAGAACGATGAACGAAGAACGATGAACACTTTCTTCGAGGGCCGTCGGGGCTTGATCTTGAATTGGTGGATGATTATTGATCCAAAGGGCCGTTGGGGCTTGATCTTAGGATGAACGATGAACGAAGAACGAAGAGAGCTTTCTTGATTCTTCGGGAACCTGGATGCTTGAGAGCTTCGGAGTTTCAGAGCTTCAGAGCTTCAAGAATTTTGCCTAATGATTTTGGTTGAACTGTGAACGAAGAACGAAGAACGAAGAGAGCTTTCTTGATTCTTCGGGAACCTGGATGCTTGAGAGCTTCGGAGTTTCAGAGCTTCAAAGCTTGCTTAATGATTTTGGTTCCTCCCTCTAAATGAATGAATTAGCCTTCTATTTATAGAAATTTCTAAGGCCTAATTTTGAATATAATATTCCAGATGAAATAAGTCGTTTCTGCCAGGTGTTGACACGTGTCCTGTTTGATGACTTTTCCAACTTATTTCGATTTTTTTGTTTAAACACACGCTACGTGTAAAATTTATGTAATACATGAGCGTTGAAACTTTGATTTATTGGTCAACATTTATTTACCGAAATTTCGATGTCTATAAATGCCCCCACTTCAAGGCGCGTCGTATACATGTGCTTGTCACGTGTAGGAGATGCGTTTTGAAGTCCCTTACTGTAGATGTCGATCCAAGGGCCATCGAGGCTTGATCTTGAATTGGGCTGGAGATTTCTTCAAGGGCCGTTGAGGCTTGATCTTGAATTGGGCTTGAGATTTCTTCAAGTGCCGTCGAGGCTTGATCTTGAAGGTTGAATATTGGACCACAAGGAGTTTCATGTGGTAGATGATCCTTGGCTTTGGTAGTGGATGAATCGGCACGTATTTGTTTTTTTGCGCTTGTTGACTTTCCACAGCTTTGATTTTGAACTGGGTTTGATTCAAGGGTGGTGGACACTTGATCTTGAATCAGTCTTGTGATTTCTTCCAGGGCCGTCGATGCTTGATCTTGAATTTGGCTGGAAGTTTCTTCAAGGGCCGTCGAGGCTTGATTCTTGAAGGTTGACTCGAACACATGGCAAGCAGGCACGAGGTGAAGGTGACGACTTGTTGCCTTGTTCAATCTTTCTAATTCATACCTGAGAAGTTTGGTCAACGATATGATCTTCAAGATTGATGGGCTCTTCTTCCAGTTGGTGACTTGATATTTAAGGATTTGATTCAAGGGTGGTGAATCGGCACGTGCAGCCCACAACGCCTAGCGAGTCGACCCAAGAATTTGAGGGTCAAAACGAGTCCTCCACCCAAAGTGATTGCAACCCTAATGATATGAGATACTTTTGATTTTGAAGAAGTAGCGGATGAATCGGCACGTGCTTTGTTGTGCTTGTTTCCACATGCTTCAATGTATCATTTTCCCTTGTCTTATCTATTCTTCTGGCAGAATGTGGCATCTTCTCGAGTTCTTCAGCTCAGACTCCTTCTGCTGAGTTGACTGTGCAAGCTGCATTCTTCTCTGCTTGTTTCTTCTGCACGTTGTCTCCACGTGCTGTAAGGTATCATTTTCACTTGCCTTATCTGTTCTTCAGGCAGATGTGGCAGTTTCTTTGGAAGTACAGCAGCAGTGGGAAACGAGTACTCGAGAGCAGTGCTAGGTGGGCAATCAGGGAAGGGTTCCAAGCAGTCGGTTCCTTACCCGAGTTTGAGTGGAGGTTCCGGCATATTGTTTTCTTTATCCTTGTCTTTGTAGGTAAGAACAAGGACAAAGGAAAGGACAGAGAAAAAGCATGATATGAGATACTCTTGCTTTCTACCCTGGTGATATGAGATACTTTTGCTTTGGAGTCATTTGCTTGCAGAGGTACCCCAAGGAATAAGGAACACTGAGTAACTCGAGAGGCTTCGTTGGGAAGGCATTCTCGGAGATGAAGAAAGGTTCTCGGAGATGAAGAGAGGTTCTCGGAGATGAAGAAAGGTTCTGTATGTCTGCCTTGCTATGGAAGGTGAAGGTGGACAGTTATAGGAAGTCTTTTAATACTTGTAGAGGTACTATTCTTTCACTCATATCGGCAACCAATGCGTGATTAATCGGTATGGCTTCACGTGCTTTCTTCTTTATCAGAAATCTTCGACAATTTGTCCATAATTTTCGCCAAGCTGAGTGTGCATGTGACAGGTGTTGACGAGGCTGAAAAAGACTTGCGCCTCTTCGATATCTGGGATCGGCGCTTCGACAAATTGCCCGTGATTTCCGCAAAGCTGAGTTTGCACGTGACGGGTGCTGACGAGGCTGAAAAAGACTGGCGCCTCTTCGATATCTGGGATTGGCGCTTTAACAAATTGCCCGTGATTTCCGCAAAGCTGAGTTTGCGCGTGACGGGTGCTAACGCGTCTGGAAAAGCAAGATGCTTCTCCGATTTCTGAGCTTGCCTCTTCGATTTTTGAATTGGCCTCTTCGAATTCTGAGATCGCTTCTTCAATCTCTGAAATCCCGTCGAGTGTTGATTTTTATAGAGGCACGCAGTTCGTTTCAAAGCACACTTGAATTTTTTGCTTGTAGAAAACTCCCTTCTTGCACTTCTAAGATCTTGATTTGTCCGACCTCTTCTTTCTTCAACACCTTTCAAAATGTCTGGACCCTCCGACCGTCGTTTTGATTTGAACCTTGGTGAAGAGGCAGCCTCGCCTTCTCCAGATAACATATGGCGTCCATCCTTCATATCCCCTTGAATCAATGAAGGCTTTCGTTTGTTTGCACATTTTTTTTTTTGGCATGTAAATGTTCCCTCTGTAATTTTCCAGAGAAATCAATGAAATGGACTTTATTTCTCTCAATGCATTTTTTTTATTTATTATTATTTATTATTTTTTTCATGTGGTGCAATCCGCACCATCCCACTCATTATTTCTTATATATTATTATTATTATCATTTTTCATATGGTGCAATCCGCACCATTCCTGAAACCTCTTTTTTTTTTTTTTTTTTTTGTATTACTATATTTTTCTTCTTTCACATGGTGTCGTCCACCATCATTTTTTTTATTTTTTTATTTTTTTCTTTCGGTGGTGCTCACACCCACCACCATCATGAACCTTTCAACTTATATATATATATATATATATTTTTTTTTTTTCTTTATATATGGTGCTTTGCATGGGTGGAACTTGACGGAGCAGCGGAGCTGTAGGAGGCCAGAGATGGAGGAGATCTTTGGGTGTGTGTTGACAAACTTCGGTTTTGTCAATCATATTCAAAGGCAACAGCCATGGCGGAGGTGCAGAAGCAGTTGGAGTGACGAGCTTGAGGTAGAGTGTAGGGCGTCGAACCTGGAGTGGAGGAGTCGCAGCGGCGCTGGGTGATGAGCAGAGGGCAGATCGCAGCCACTGAGCACAGCCAATAGACTCCGCCTCGTCAATTCCTGCCGAGCCCATGCCAACATTATGCACGTGATTCCTCCGATAGCTTCAACGCATTCAGCAATTCAACCGAGTCACACAAGCTCAGACAACTTCAGCCTTTCATCGCAAGAAGAAATTCACAGCTACCTAAATTGGAAAAGAAAAACCCAATCTAAGTAACACAATTGTCAATCTCCTTCTCTTGCTCGGCTCCTCCTACTCCTCCTTATGACCCCTGTGTTGTTTGACATCGGACTCCAAACTTGTGGCAGCTTCTTCTTCCTTGAGCTGCAGGAGTTTCTTTTGGTTTTGGCTTTGGGGATGACTACTTGTTGCAAGCAGATTCAGCAAAAAGTCAGTCAAGGCATGCTCATAGTTAGGCAATTTGGCATACCCAGGAAAGTAATTGATGTCGATCACAAAATAGCTGCTGGGGTCCTTCGAATTCCTTATCACGTCAAAGTTGAAAAAAAACAAAAGTGGAGTTTGAGGCCCACACCCCCTTCGCCACCTCCTCAACAAACTCCAGCGGAGGCATTTCGTGAGGATCATGAGCCAGATTATGCTCGTCATTCGCAGAATTTGATATCTGTGAAAAAGGAAGCACTGCCCCTTCCAATGTGGTCACCTGCTCCTTCGAAATGTCCGGCAGTGACCTCCGCTTGACGCACTGGTCGTGCTCTCCGATTGAGTAACCCTTGAACACCACCCCGCCGTGGTTCACAAACTGTTGCAGCAAAATAGGACTATCAGTATCGGCCAGAAGACTGCGCAACCCCTTAGGGCTAAAAATCAAACACATCTCGTGCGACTTGGCGCTGCCATTCGCAAACAACGGCTTTGCAATCACCGGAAACTCCAACCCCACTAACAAATTAGTTGCTTCTTCGCGTTCTGGGTAATGGTCAACCAGCACCTGTTTGGGCAC